TTTTACTTGAGTACATTTTTGTCTGTGTATTTGCACTTTTACTTAAGTACATTGTATGAGTACTTTCTCCACCACTGTTAAAATGGTGCATTACTGATTTATTAAAACTAAATACGATAGGTACACCTAATAACATTATATAAGCCGTTAGGTATTATGGTTGGCAAGTACTTTTACTTTTAATACTTAAGTAGTTTTAAAAGCTTGTACTTTCTTAGTTTTACTTAAGTAAAATAATAATGTGGTACTTTGAATTTTTACTTGAGTACATTTTTGTCTGTGTATTTGCACTTTTACTTAAGTACATTGTATGAGTACTTTCTCCACCACTGTTAAAATGGTGCATTACTGATTTATTAAAACTAAATACGATAGGTACACTTAATAACATTATATAAGCCGTTAGGTATTATGGTTGGCAAGTACTTTTACTTTTAATACTTAAGTAGTTTTAAAAGCTTGTACTTTCTTACTTTTACTTAAGTAAAATAATAATGTGGTACTTTGAATTTTTACTTGAGTACATTTTTGTCTGTGTATTTGCACTTTTACTTAAGGACATTGTATGAGTACTTTCTCCACCACTGCTTTTTTTGAGTATCCATACTTTTATAAACCCTGATGGGTTGTTTGTGTGTGTTCGCAGCTCTTCCTGGTGTCTCTGGCCTTCGTTTACTTCGCTAAAGCGTTCTGCGGCGCGTACCTGAAGAGCTCCATCACGCAGATAGAGCGCCGCTTCGACATCCCCAGCTCCCTGATCGGGGTCATCGACGGCAGCTTTGAGATGGGTGCGTCCCTCCTGTTAACCCCGTTCTTTAGCCGGAAACCTGAGAACAAACCAGAGTGGATCTAAAGTATCAAAAAATGACATTTATTAGACAAGGAGAAGGCTTTCTGGCTTTTTCTCGCAGACTTTCAGAGTCTTTAGGAGAAAATTAGAGCTGAATCTGGATGAAAAAGGCTGAAATTGATGTCTAAATTTTACATATTGTTATTTATTTTGATTTATTTTAGTAATATATCTGGTTCCCATATTAATTTTGTGTGATTTTTTTAACCTTGTTAAAAAACGGACATCTTTTCATCCTTTTTTAGTAAAATTAGCTCATTTAGTGGAAATCAGAGCCGATTCTGGAGGAAAAAAGCTGAAATTTACATAGAAATTTGATATATTTTTATTTATTTTAGTCATTTATCCGGTTCCTATATTAATTTTGTGGTTTTTTTCCAGCTTCTTGTGTAAAAACTGACATCTTTTCATCCTTTTTGAGTAAAATTAGCTCACTTCCTGAGATAAACAGGCCAGGTCCTAATTCATGCAGATGACAGGAATGTGCTAACAAATAGTGTGTGTGTGTGTGTGTGTGTGTGTGTGTGTGTGTGTGTGTGTGTGTGTGTGTTGACCTAAAGGTGGATCTAATGCAACAGAGAGAGAAAAAGAGAGAAAAGAGAGTCTGTGGTTAAAGCGAGAGACTTTAACACAAAATATAGTTATAAAGGAATAAAAACAATCAGTAATTTACATAGATCATGCTATAGCTAATGCTATACACTATGCTAAAGTGAGTAATTATAACCAAATTCTAACAAGGATAAAGGCTTTTAAAGGGCAAAGACACAATAACTGAGTTCTAAGCATCAAGATGCAGAATATTATGGGATATCTCATTATATTAGATAAAGAGATAACAAATTAAATAACAAATGGTGTGTTTGTGTTGAACTAAAGGAAAAGAGCCAGAGACTTTAACACAGAATATAGTTATAAAAGGAAATAAAACAGTTATTTACATAGATCATGCTATAGCTAATGCTAATCTATAGCTAATGCTACACACTATGCTAAAGTGAGTAATTATAACCAAATTCTAACAAGGATAAAGGCTTTTCTTCCAGTTTTAACAGGGCAAAGACACAATAACTGAGTTCTAAGCATCAAGATGCAGAATATTATTGGATATCTCATTAGATTAGATAAAAAGATAACAAATTAAATAACAAATGGTGTGTTTGTGTGTTGAACTAAAGGAAAAGAGCCAGAGACTTTAACACAAAATATAGTTATAAAAGAAAGTAAAACAATCAGTAATCTACATAGATCATGTGATAGCATACTATGCTAAAGTGAGTAATTATAACCAAATTCTAACAAGTATAAAGGCCTTTCTTCCAGTTTTAACAGGGCAAAGACACAATAACTGAGTTCTGAGCATCAAGATGCTGAATATTACAGGAAATCTCATTAGATTAGATAAAGAGAAATACAAATGGGGTGGATGTAATGCAACAGAGAAAGAAAAAGAGAGAAAAAAGAGTCTGTGGACACAGCCAGAGAATTTAACACAAAATACAGTTATAAAAGAAAGTAAAACAATCAGTAATCTACATAGATCATGTGTTAGCATGCTATGCTAAAGTGAGTGATTATACCCAGATGCTAACCCTCTCCCTAACCTTTCCCCCCCCCAGGAAACCTGCTGGTGATTGCCTTTGTGAGCTACTTTGGGGCTAAACTCCATCGGCCAAAGCTGATCGGCATCGGCTGCCTGATTATGTCCGTTGGATCTTTCCTCATCGCGATGCCCCACTTCTTCCAGGGACCGTCAGTACTCAGCCCTGTTTTCTTTCTGCTCCAGGACATAAAAATCACTTAGTAGAGGACATAATTGGTCTAAAAAAAATTTTGGATAAGGAATTAATTTTTCTGCAAATAATATTCCATTTTTGAGTGTCTGTGTTTAACTAGTGACAGGTGGAGTAATCATGTAATAATTCCTTATGACTAGATTTTGTATATAATTTTGTATA